AAGAACCCGGGGATAAAACAACTTAAGTGAATCGAAGAACCCGGTGATAAAACAACTTAAGTGTCTCGAAGAACCCGGGGATGAAACAACTTAAGTGTATCTAAGAACCCGGGGATAAAACAACTTAAGTGAATCGAAGAACCCGGTGATAAAACAACTTAAGTGTCTCGAAGAACCCGGGGATGAAACAACTTAAGTGTATCTAAGAACCCGGGGATAAAACAACTTAAGTGAATCGAAGAACCCGGTGATAAAACAACTTAAGTGTCTCGAAGAACCCGGGGATGAAACAACTTAAGCATCTCGAAGAACCCGGGAATGAAACAATTTAAGCTTGATCTAATTAAGAACAACTTTTCTAAGAATTATAGGTGGATCGTTATATATATATAGTTACGTTTTGACTTCTAGTTTTTATGTTGGCGAAATTTAAACTCTCTGAGAGTTGGTAGGACGAGATAGGGTAATCTTTTGTTTTCTTTATTTATGTGATATAATTCATATATTTTAAAGGAGTCTGTTTCTTGTGAAATTCCTTGGTGTTCATTACATACTTACTTCAGAAAATATAATGTGGCAAAACCAATAGCTTCTTATTATAGTACAATTTGATATTACATAATATTGTTCAGAACCACATTTCTATAACTGAGTTGCTGTAAATAAAGTAATTATTAGTTTGTTTTCATATCTTGTCCAAACGTCTGGCTGTTTAAGGACGTTTCTGGATATAGGATCATGAGTTATATTTTATATCCTATTTTCTCGCTTTGCTCACGTTCTTTTTGTTTTTCTTGTGGTTATAAGGCAGAGTTTATTTTGGGTAGGGTCTAAATATAACATCGATTCGATCATATGAGTCTGAATATGTCTAGTTGTTGTTTTTCTTGTGGTTCCCTACCCAAAGTAAACTCTGCCTTATCCTAAATGTAACATCGATTCGATCATATGAGTCTGAATATGTCTAGTTGTTGTTTTTCTGGTGAACATGATGTCGTCGTTTTGCAGCTCGATTTTTCTAGAATTTTCAGAGAGTATTAAAACCGCTAAGAGTTTTTTTGTTAAACAATTGCGTAACGTTTGTCAAGCTTAGCTTTTTCAAACTATTTGGCAGTTTAAACACGTATATCGATAATTTGCCAAAGTCTGCTCTGTTAAATTAAACATTGGTATGTTAAGAAGCCAAGGGGGGGGGGGAGATTTACCTTTTATTTTCTATCAAACGCAGTAAATCAAATAAATAAACTCATTAAAGATTTTCCGCGAAGGTTTTCTTATTCAGAAAAGTTCTTATGTAAAATAACTTCCCGAAGAAATGATAGGGTTTTGTAATTCATATTCAAAAATAAAATATACTAATGAAAAAAAAAACTACCCAAAGAAAATATTTGACAACAGTTTAATTATCATATCTTAATCTGAAGTTGTTCGTCTCGTTTTCCTCATCTGTTATTGTTTAATTTTTGTGTTCCTATAGATGGCCCGGCCATTGTGAATGTTAACATCTATATCAGAAGTATCAGCAAAATAGATGACGTCACCATGGTAAGTTTAAGAAGGCATTTTTACATCATGAGAAGCAAGAAGCACGTTGTTGGTAGTCAGTGGTGTTGGAAGTCATGATCGCTTTGCCCTGTGTGATGTTGGCTTTCAAAATCTGCCACTTTAAATGATTAAATGGTCGTACTTCATTGTTTTTGAGTATTTGGTAAGTCGATGTGGCCCACGGGGTTTTTATTTATGTACTGAGGTGCTTTGCTCTTTCATTAGCTATATATGATAGATACATCAATTTATGTTTCAATCACGATACAGTGTTGAATGTATGACAAATAAATAATATTTTTATGCAGGTAAGCTCGAACTCTGATAGAATTGCAGTTCTCATGACAACCCTGATGCTATTCTGGATCTTTAAAAAAGAAGAGATTAAAAAAACCAAAGTTTTATGCTGTTTAAGTACATAGATGTATTTACTTATTTCTAGCACCACGGAAGCATATATTTACATTTTACATCTACTCAGATAAATGAAAAATGTTATGATAGCATACATTTTAAATAATAATTTACTTAATATCTGACAGTCGAATCATAGAACTGTAAATACATAATTAGTAGACATAAAAACAAGAATTATATAAGCAACGTTAGACTATTTTTACCTTTCATTTTAAGCGACGTTTCGGGCGGAGTGAGCCTGAGAAAGTGAGTTGCCCGAAACGCTGCTTAAAATAAAAAGTCAGAAAGACTGATATTAGGTTTTTTGTGTGTCGCTTTAATTATAATGTTTTATTATCTGAGTAAGTACAATGTTTGGTTGGAGTTACAGAATGAATATTATGGCTATTAACACTGCATGTACAAAACGTTAATTCTAAACATTTACGTTTTTTTTTTTTTCTACAAACATTCTGGTACGTCTTAGAGTTTATTATGCCCATTTTTATTTTTACCAATCACAATTAACATCCATCGCCGTCTACCAATCACCATGAACATTGACCAGTGTTTACCAATCACCATTGACATCCCCCATTGTTGTTTACCAGTCACAATTAATATTCACCACTGTTGACCAATCACCATTAATATCCACAGCAGAATCTCAACTAGTGATATAAAAAACTTCATGATCTTCAATGAGATAATATAAATATATATAAAGATAATTGGAAATCGTAAATTTTAACATAAACCTTAAACATTATAACGGTATTTTAAGGCCTAGCTGATGTAATTAGCTCTAATTCAAAATTTATATGCAAAATTTGTAGGCTTACTGTTAGATGTCGTTAATGATTTTTTTAGAGTACTTATAATAAACGACGCTCTCTCTCTCTTTCTCCATCTCAAGAGTGAAATCATTTGGCGATAAGCCAAGTAAATAAAAAATGTCATTTAACTAAAAAACACAGTCTAAAAGTATGTGAAAAGTGTAATAGACTTTGAAAATTTCGGTTATTTTGTTTTCATTACGCTATAGTTATGGTATCCTTGGCCTAAATATCTCGGTATTTAGCATCTTTGACTTGTTTCGTTGCAAAGTTAATATATTTTATATCTTCTTTTTCTCATAGTACGTGCATTTTCTGACACATAGTTTCTATTCTGTGTTAAAAACCTTATTAGGACAACCAAACCCTTTTATCCCTGACTGCAGAAAAGTTCTTAGGAAAGTTACTTGTGTGACTAAGTTGAAATTCTTTCTAATGAAAGCTGTCGATCACAACCAAGCCAAATCTTTAAATATATTTTGTTGTTGTTGCTAGAAATGGTAGTTTTAAGTGGTTTAACCATTGAAAATAGGCACTTCCAAAAACATATATGTATATATATTATTTTGAACATAAAAAACATTGAAATGGCTTTAAAATGTGTGCTAATTTTTACTTTATTATCACTAAATTTAATTGGCTAAAGCATTTGAATGGCTTAGCAAAGACTAGAGTTCGAATCCTACCGAATTTCACTTGTTATGTTTAAACTATACCTAACTAAATATTAATTTTCATCTTCGCTAGAAGTCTTGAATAATATTATCGTGTCTATTTCTTTGTCCTCTTCTACTCTGATTATCGTTTAGACAATTATATATATATATATATATTTATATATGCCCAAGCAAGCCATGAAATTATTATTTTATTGGCTAATTTCTTATACATATATCCGTGACTGAAGTGAATCAATACCTAGCCAGTGAACGTACGTTTAATCCCTGAAATTAATTTGATATAAGTTTATTTTAAAGCACCATCTACATCTGAAAACTCTTTTTTATTTCAGGAATATAGCGTGCAGTTAACCTTCAGAGAACAGTGGCGAGACGAAAGGCTGGAGTTCGACGACATGAATGGACAGATGGCTTATTTAACCCTAACCGATCCAAACAAAATCTGGAAACCCGATCTTTTTTTCTCCAATGAAAAGGAGGGGCATTTCCATGACATCATCATGCCAAACGTGTTACTTCGAATTTATCCAAATGGAGAAGTCTTGTACAGTATAAGGTACTTTAATTCATTTTAGTGTAAGGAATACTTAACAGCTGATATATTTAATATATATTTGTATGCAAGTTAGTAACAACATAAAATCTTATCCTAGAAAACTTATAGTTGCTAGCAAAAAAATATACGTATATTTATCGTAGCTACATACTTTATCAATACCTCACGCCTACATAAAACATTTGAGATACTCAAGTTTACAAAGTCTTAAATATATATATATTAACCAATTCATTTCTTACACGTAATATGAGAAGAATTACGTCACATTTATTAAAGTCGCCCTCTCGTAACGACTCGTAAAACTAAACAAATTTGTTAACTTTTTTATTCAATTTGTAATTTTTGTTTTTGTCTGTTACTTTCTTTGTGCAAAGATAACACAATAGGCTATTTACACTCTGTCCACCGCGGGGAATCGGACCTCAGGTTTTTATGTTGTAAGTCCGTTAAATTACCTCTGACCTACTGGGGGACATTTCGTAGTTTATATTATTCGGCTATAATATATGCAACTAAATGGGATCTAATGATCTTTTACTGATGGTCAAGCTCGAAAAAAGGCCTCATGTTTTTTTTTCTTTCTTAAAAATTAACAATTCTAATATATGGAACGACATATTTTATTTTAAAATCGATGGAAATTCCTTTCGGATTTAACTGAAGGTTTTAAGACTGAAAATAATAGCTAAACTTTAGATATATTATCGTTTCATTTTAATATCGACACCAGGCTCTTACTTTTCCACGTGTCTCATAGATAGTTTCTTTTTTTTTTCGAAATTTGTAATGCATAATGGAGGGATTTAGATATTTTGGCAATAAAACTGGAAAAGAAAACGACTTTTACTCTCCAGTAAAAAAAAAAGCTTTTTATTTAACCAAAGCTTCGTCATTACATTTACTTTAACAGGGCTAGTTGTACGAGAACTAAGATAATAATAATAAAAACTCCTTTTTTTCAGCTAATTACACTGATGGCTTGTTTGTTTGTTTGTAGTTAAGCACATTCTACAAAATGGGCTATCTGTGCTCTGCCCACCACGGGTATCGAAACCCGGATTCTAGCGTTGTAAGTCCGCAGACATACCGCTGTGATACTAGGGGGCTCCCTGATGGCACTGAAATGGCCAAACGTTGCCAGAAGTAAAAAAGTTTCTATTATTATCTGGAGAGTAAAGATTGTTGTTGTTGTTGTTTTTCTGAGCAAGCATCAGTTTACATAGTTTCATGAAATATAAAATACCTATACGATATTTTGATAACTTAACGATGTAAGCTATAATTTTACAAAATCACTAAATAAAGTAGCGATTGGAACTACTTGAAAAACGTTGCATCATATAATAGCTTTGTAAATTGAATGTTATAAATCCAACCATACGATAAAAAGTTCTACTTATTTCTTGATTTTCACTTTTTGTTGTGAATTTTCTATCTGAGTCATGAAAGTATCCTTTTACTGTGTGATTACTACCTGATTATAACGATCGGAACAAAAGATAATATATGCGTTGTTAACTAAATTATTGGCCCTTAACCCTTTTCGAGCGAAAGCCTCTGGCATTTGGTAAATTAAATCTTCTAAGAACGTAAATGCTAATGAAAATCTTGTTTTTATTCGACGCACGTCACTAAAGCATTGAGACTTAAGAAGACATATGGTCTAACTAGAAACGTCTATGAAAAACTTTAAAAATATCTGTAATAAGTGGAACAAAAACTAAGTTTATTAAAAAAAAAAACACCTATTAACATTTGACCAAAAACACAACTAATCCAATAAGTTCGAACTGTTTCGTTGTTGGTACAATTGTAATGTAATCTTTAAAATGTTTTTTTTTAAAGCAAAGCTATCGGTTGGGTCCACCGCGGGGAATCGAACCCCGGATTTTAGTACTGTAAGCTTGTAGACTTACCATTCTCCCATTGAGATTATTTTAGAAAATTTAAATTGTTCGTTAATAATGAACTATATGAAGCAATAATTTATCTTTCTTCTCAAGTGGCCCCACCTAGTGGCACAGCGGAATGTGTGCGGACTTATACTGCTAGAAACCAGGTTTCCATACCCGTGACGGGCAGAGCACAGATAGCCCTTTGTGTAGCTTTGTGCTTGATAACAAAGAACTGCTCAAGTGTTAAAATATTCTATTTATTTCATAGAACAATCAGCTTATTATGCTGTCCTAAATGATGCTTTCATAGACCATTAACCCTAAACTTGAAGAGTTGAGTATTCTCTAATAAATGTTTTTAGCTCAAACCAGAAAATATTTTATTATTAAACGTAGTAATGTAACTAGCACACTTATATGTAATATAAAAGGAACTTTCAGGAATTACTTGCCAAGAATGTCAATAACAAATAAGTAAAACTATTTCACCGTTTTGTATATCTGAATGCAAAGTTGAATAAATAGATTTAAATCAATTAGTAATTTTTTTCAAGTGTAGCTTGTGTTTATTGATCAATATACATTTCTCACGAGGACGGTTTCAGAACTTAGGCACTCTGTGTGACAAAGGCTCGTCATTTAAGTTCTTTTTCAACGAAAACATAATAATAATAACATTTATTATTAATAAATAATAATAATAGTGATAATAAGTATTATTAAGATATAAATAAATAAATAAATATTATTTAACTCCCAAAGGATTTCGTTAATGTTATCCTGCCCAATGGACCTCAAGTACTACCCTCTGGACAAACAGACCTGTTCTATCATCATGGCCAGCTGTAAGTATATAACATAATAATATTAACCTATTATCTCTATTATCTCGATATATCATCTCGATATTAAATCAGTATAAGTTAAATAGTGTTATCATACATTTTGTGAATTATTTAAGCCCCTATCGTTGTTACTTAGCACTACCCACTGTCTGAGTGATTTTTGTCAGCGTATATTAGAACCTGATATTTATATACAGTATACTTTCATCAGTGAATAATCTCAAAGTAAAGTTTCAGGAATTATTATAATATAAGATAAATGGACTTTTGGACAGTGTCTGCATTCAGTTGTTATTCATATCAGTTAGTATGTTTCACTGAATTCAAACGAGGCATTTTTTAAAAATCGAACATCAATAGCTCAAATCGAAAACATTTTTTAAAATTATTTTTATAACTTTTACAAATCGTGAAGAAAGTTTAACGATAGCATACTGAACTCGTCTGCGTACATTTTTTTTTTGTATCCAAAACTTACCGTGTCCTGGGGAAAAAAATCGGAGTAATTTTTATCTATTGCATGAAATTAATTTTTTTCTCTCATTTAATGTTTGTCGCTTTAAACATTTTCGTTTGCAAAGACCAGTACAGGAAAGAAGTTATCATAAAAGTTTTGGAATGTTTGTAGGATAATTCGCCTATCAAGCTTAAAGTGGTCCTTACCAGCATACGGACGTATGCCTCTTAATAATACAGTTTTCTTCTCTCAAGCTTAAAACTGGCGATGGTGTCTTTTAGCAAATTTCTTGAAACAAATATACTTTCTTTCCAAACCTTCTAAAAGCACGAAACCTTTCCACTGAGCTATTTCCATCTTAATGGCTGGGTTCAAAAAAGAAAAAAAAACTACACAAAATGGTGTACAACTTAAGGCCCAAATAAAAGAAGAAGAAAAAAAAACAACGAACTTAATTTAGTTTCAACTCTTAAAAGAAACTGTTTCTATCTGGGAAAAAAAGAGGAAGAAGAAAAAATACTAAGGAACATCAGAAAGGAGTAAAAAGTAGATTTTTGAAATAAAAGACTGTTGGCAGATTGCATTAATTCATCCTTAAAGGAAACTCGAACAATCTAATTATATCAGACTCACTTTACGTCACTGCAATCGTATAATCAGCGATAAAATGTTTAGGAGAAAGAGAGCCTCATCAGCGGAGACGTAGGACTTTCGAACATTCTGGACATTGATCTGGAAATTAAATCATTGCTTTCAGAGTTGCATATATGCTTAACATTTAAGTTTATCAAGTTTCTAAACAGTAAAAGTTGTTATTGTATTTAAAGTCTCAGAAGCTACTGTCGTCATTACTGCAAGAAGCTATTTCTTTGTGAACTCAGTTATAATATTAGGAAATAAAGAAGAATGTGTACCTCAATTTTTGGATATCTATATCACTTCCTCTGTTTGCGGCCTATTTGTAGTTTAATATTAAGATCTTTGCAATTTTTTTAAATTGGTTTAGATATTTATAACCAGATTTATTCCGTGACATTCATTCATAATATAATGTAATTAAACGGTATGCGCTTCATTGCTGTTATCTTAAATAATAATATTAGAATACTGCGTATCGCAAGAAAATATGTAAGAAACTTAGACTTACGCATAGAATAAACATTAGGTAAGAGAAGAGCACTTTATGGTTCTAATTACCCTACTTAATGGTTCAGAAGCTATAGTGGTCATGATGTGAAATCTGTGTTTAAATCTAAGGTCCTACTATAAGTTAGGCACTGCTTTTTTTATACGGTTATTTTATATATACATAATTAAGCAGGGACGATATTGTGAACGTTTTTTTTTTTTTTGCAAGTTTTTAACTAACTACCCGATATCTACTTTACGCCACTGATTCAGACACTTTCGCTTGAGCCAGTTAAGAATAATTTGATTAAAGTGTTATCAATTTCATCATGAAGTAATTAATGACCCAGTTACTACCGACCAACGGATCACACCTCCCCAACTTAAGGTTTTTTGAAAGTAAGTTTGTTTGTTTTTTCAATAATAGTCCTCGTTTTGTTAAGGTCGTAACTTCAGTAGAATTTTACTGAGGACCACAAACTTATAGACTTTAACTTTTTTCTTACCAATATATTTTTTCTGGATTTCTGCGTCAGACGGATACACGACAGATGACCTGGTGTTTCTTTGGAAAGTTGGAGATCCCGTACAAGTGACCAAAAACCTCCATCTTCCTCGTTTTACGTTGGAAAAGTTCAACACTGAATACTGCACCAGCAAAACAAATACAGGTAAGTATAAACTACGTTCTGTGAACAGTACATGAAAATTTGTTACTTCCATTAAAACACAGTCTTTTACTTTGATTATCTGATTGTTACTTCCATTAAAACACAGTCTTTTACTTTGATTATCTGATCGTTACTTCCATTAAAACACAGTCTTTTACTTTGATTATCTGATTGTTAACAGTTGATGTTGATGTTTTGTAGCATCAGTGTTCAGACTTGTTTAGTACCTAAACACTGCAGCAGTTGGTGTTGATGTTTTGTAGCATCAGCGTTTAGACTTGTTTAGTACCAAAACATTGCAGCAATTGGTGTTGGTTTACTCAGACATCTTAACAACAGTTCGTTTTAGTTATGATTATCTTACTTATTATTACTGCCATTAACAACACAGTCTTTTACTTTGATTATCTGATCGTTACTTCCATTAAAAACACAGTCTTTTACTTTGATTATCTGATCGTTACTTCCATTAAAAACACAGTCTTTTACTTTGATTATCTGATCGTTACTTCCATTAAAAACACAGTCTTTTACTTTGATTATCTGAGCAGTGTTTAGGTACTAAACAAGTCTAAACGCTGATGCTACAAAACATCAACACCAACTGCTGCAGTGTTTAGATACTAAACAAGTCTAAACGCTTATACTACAAAACATCAACACCAACTGCTGTAGTGTTTAGGTACTAAACAAGTCTAAAACTAATGCTACAAAACATCAACACCAACTGCTGTAGTGTTTAGGTACTAAACAGACATGAAGACTGGTGCATTAACACCATAACCAAATGATGCAATACCTCTTCCAAGTCTAATTCAAGACATTTTGAAGTTGTTAATTTGGGTGAAATACGTGTCCGAAGTCTAACTCAAGACTTGTTGTTGTTGATTTGAGTGAGATGATGTTTCAAGTCTAACGAAAGAACAGTAAATATTGTTTATTCAAAGAGATTAATAAATTGTAACTGTAACATTCAAAGGAATGCCATATTATAAGGAATAGCAACTTGATTGTGCGTAAATAACGCTCTTCTGATACTTTATGATAAAAAATTCTTTCAAAAGTACAAATTAAATATAAAACAAATCAATAAGTACTTGTGTGACAAATAAGGCTTAGGAACATTTAACCGCGATCGTCATGGAAAAAAAAAGCGGTAACAAGTTAGTACATTTCCTATAAACGGATACAGGTTGCCAGAGCAGTACATTACGAGGGCTGATACGACAAACGAAAACAGTGCGAAATTATACGACAGTAGCCAGAATACGGAAAGCCGTAGGTCTGAATATTGAAGACATAGCAATGTAATATAATATCATAAATGTATATAAATAGCACGAGACAAGTCTTAGTTAACGATACACTTTGTTACGACGAGAATTTCGTTATCTTACCTTTAATTCATTATGTCTTTTTATGTACATATATATATATAAACAATACCCTGCACTAACAACAAGCCACTAGAATAGCGAAAGAGGCGCCACTAGCGCGAGCCTTTAACAGATGAGTATGGGTGTGTCCTGGTGGTTGTCGTGGAAGCACCGTGACTTCAAAGATTCTTGGTTTTTGTCTTCGTTTTTTTTTTTTTTTATCTCGTTGCCTCAATATCTCACTTTGCACTGAGTGCACTGTAAGAGTGACGGATAAATCTCACTATCCGGTGAGACAAGGTTATCCCACGAGTTGGCGGTAGGTACTTTCTGCGTAGTTTATCAGTTTACCTATGCATAGGTCGCCCTTTATGTAGCTTTACACAAATAGTCTGTGATAAACAGCTGTAGAAATCTTCAGGTGAAACATTCTAATTATTTAACAAGTGTCTACCTAGCAGTTGGCCAGGTGGTTAGGACGCTTGAGGGTCGCGGGTTCGAATCTCCGTCCCACCAAACATGATCAGGTGGTTAGGCACTTGAGGGTCGCTGGTTTGAATCTCCGTCCCACCAAACATGCTCGCCTTTTCAACCGTGGGTGCGTTATAATGTGACGGTCAATCCCACTATTCGTTGGTAAAAGAGTAGCCCAAGAGTTGGCGGTGGGTGGTGGTGACTAGCTGCCTTCCATCTAGTCTTACATTGCTAAATTAGGGACGGCTAACGCAGATAGCCCTCGAGTAGCTTTGCGCGAAATTCAAAATAAACCAAACCAAACTCACCAGAGGACTAAACAGTCAGGACAAAAACCCATAAGGTTCTCGTATTATCGTATCTTAGTTTGAGTTACTGAACAAATGTAAGGTAGCCATCAGCACTCGCCGCTAGAAGTGTCTTGTCTGGTTTTTGATCCGTGTAATAGAATTAGTAAAGTGTAATCGTGTAATAGAATTTGTAAAGTGTAATATGGAGTGCTAAAACGGAGGTGGCGAATCACGTGATCCATGAAACGGCACTGCCGCTGTACGCTGACGTAATCAGCTAGCATTACACCAAACTGTAATTCTTAACAAATATCAATCTATATACGTATCTTTTGATTTTTATAATAATGCCATTTAATCAAATGTATCTGATCCTCCCAGTTTGACATTATATGTGTGTGTGTGTGTGTGTAATTGGAAAAATTGTCTGATCTGACTGAAAGTTGTATATAAAAGTAATTGAAAAGTTGATAAAATTTCATAAAAATGAAAACGTCTAATAAATTAGAAAAATTAAAATCGACGTTTAGTCGTACATCAGCAACTTGACTGTGCTACAGTTTTAATCAATTTTAAAATGAATGAGGTTCTGGTAATCAAAAAGGGAAGTTCTCATTATGAAGATTCTTTTCCGTCATTCCGTTGCTTAATCAGATCCCGACATTCTGCTGATTCGACAAGAAAGGCAACTGCTTCGTTAAACATTGCTTAATTAGTTCTCTATCATCCTGCATCGATTTAGCTCTGAAGAAGCAAACCGTGGTTTTTCCTGGTTTCTGGTGCATTTCATTTTTTTTTTTTTTTTTTCGCCAGGATCGATTCGTTTAAATCGTTACTTCTGTCTTCATAAGTGTTTTAGACATTTCAGAATATTTTTTTACAGAATTGTTAAGATGACATTAAAAAAATTACTATATTACAACAGAACCTATCTTAAATAATTCCGTTATACCGGATAGTATTTAATAATGTAGATATTTTAGATATTTCCAGTATGTTTGTTTGTTTTGAATTTCGCGCAAAGCTACACAAGGGCTATCTGCGCTAACCGTCTCTAATTTAGCAGTGTAAGACTAGAGGGAAGGCAGCTAGTCATCATCACCCACCGCCAACTCTTGGGCTACTCTATTACCAACGAATAGTGGGATTGACCGTCACATAATAACGCCCCCACGGCTGAAAGGGCGAGCATGTTTGGTGTGACGGGGATTCGAACCCGCGACCCACAGATTGCGAGTCGAGTGCCCTAACCACCTGGCCATGCCGGGCCCATTTCCAGCATGATCTGACAACCGGAACGTTTATATAGAGCAGTAGACAATTTCCTTGGACTTTTATTTGTATATACTGCCATCTGGAAGTGAGTACATAAAACTTCAATGGAATTGAAAATTTAAACCTGGACAACGAAGCGCACGCGCGATAAAGTGCCAGGTCAGAGACCCTTGAACTCAATAATAATAATCCCTAATTTAGAACTACTGAGTAGAGGGAAGGTAATTAGCCAGCAGCACCCACCGCCACAAGGAATTTGAATGACTCTCTGGGATTGACTGTCACTTTTATGACGCAGAACCTGTTTAGCATAATCACATCTTGAATACAAAAATCCTCCGATCCAAAGCCTGACACGTTCATGAGCTGGCCACTCCCGATAGCTAAAACTATAAACTTATAATGAAAATAACTTTTACTTTTTTCTGTCATATACTATCTAATTTCTAATTTTAATATTTGTTAAAGTCATAAATTATGTCGCTCTTATAACTTCAAATTAAAAGACATTTGATAAATGTGTACAACTTCCATGAAAAGCTTTAAATACGTTTTAAATGATAACATTTAAATTTATCAAATATTAAAGAATCATTGGTTATGTTACCTTTTCCTTATATACCATCTAATCGTAAAGTTTCTATATTTTTTATTTATCATTTCCGTCCAGGTAAGTGAAGTCTGAATATTCATTTGTTAATTAAATAATGAATGTAAATCCATTTGTGGTAATAAATCGATATTATAAAATTATTCTATTTCAGTCACAACTATTTTTTTTTCTACTGTGTTATTGCAGCATTTTTTTTTCACTAAGTCACTTTGATCTAAACCTTAATATTAGAATACTAAATTCTATAACGTAGGCTGGTAGTTAATGAGTTAGGCTGAAGGTTGAAGATTCAAGCTACCAAAAACACTTTGCACTTTCAATTTTAGGAAACTTTTAACTGTAAAAGTCAACCAAACTATGCAGTTTATAATAGTCGCGTAGGCGGCGGGTGCTGCTGACTGGTTACCCTCCTCTGTTCAGTAGTTTTAAGATAGAAACGGTTAGGTTTGAGCCGCGGGTATCTCTGTACCTCAACCACATGGTAGCGTAAGGTTGAAGATGTAAATATCAGATGCTAATTATAATCTAAATTCTTATAACCAGGCTCTTCCCTAAGGTTGGTGTCTAATACTTGTACATCATCACCTTAAGCATATTTTAAAATAACGTGGCATTCGAATACAACTAAACTGTTGACTGTAATATCATAACCAGCCAAACTATGACACAGCTGTTGCATGACCTGAAGGTGGATTTTACGCTATTGCTGACATTACACAGATAGGCTCGAGTGTACAGTGTTTTCACATAATAGCAGGATAAAAAAAAATTCATGAACTTGAAAACATAAGAACAATGGTCCTTCATTTTCTACTCTTTTTGTTTTATTGTCGTAAACCATAATCAACATACATTGTTAAGCTTGATTCACCTGAACTCAAAAACCTCTCCCGGAATAGGCAAGTTTGATATCTAACATTTCAGGCCCGGTATGGTCAGGTGGTTAGAGTACTCGACTCGCAATCTGAGGGGCGCGGGTTCGAATACCCGTCACACCAAACATGCTCACCCTTTCAGCCGTGGGGGCATTATAATCCCACTATTCGTTAATAAGAGAGTAGCCCAAGAGTTGGCGGTGGGTGGTGATGACTAGCTGCCATTTCTTTATGCGCCATATAAAATAATCACGGTTAGTTCTCGAGGTCTGTGAGTAAACGTTGTTTAATATGATATGGTTATAATTACAATTTGAAACATGATTGTATTAATGTTTTAGAATTTTGATCAAGGTAATTGAACTGTATATCAATTATTTCAACTTTTGATAATCTTGATCTGATTGCGTTAATGTTTTAGACTTTGATCAGCTTGATCTAATAATAGTGTTTAGAATTTTGATTAGCTTTGTTTGGTTGTATTAATGTTTTAGACTTTTGATCAACTTGATCTGATTGCGTTAATGTTTTAGACTCTGATCAGCTTGATCTAATAATAGTGTTTAGAATTCTGATTAGCTTTGTTTGGTTGTATTAATATTTTAGACTTTTGATCAACTTGATCTGATTTCGTTAACGTTTTAGACTTTGATCAGATTGATTTAATTATATTATTGTTTTGCTTTTCCAGATTTAGAATTTGAATTTATTTTAATATTACAAATTCAGTGTATATATATATCGGGGCTGTAAGGCAACGAAAAAGGCAGTAAATAAATAAATAAATATTTCATTGAGTTAATTAAATTCCTAAATA